ACCCCCCATAAAAAAAAAAAAGGATCCGGGTGCATACCAATTTTTTTTTTAATGTGGGGGGTGCACACCTAGGTGTTGGATCCGGGTGTGCACCAATCATGATCCTCTTTTTTAAAAGCTAATGTCATATGAATGATTTTAATTAGATATTTGATAAAATTAAGGTTAAATGCTAATTTTGATCCCTCAACTATTTTATGCACTTTTTTGATCTCTCAACTCTAAAAACTGTTTAGTTTTGGTCCCTCCGTTAGTTAAATCATGCTTGGTCGTTAAAATGTTATAGAATGGCAAATTTTTTAACGCATGTAACAACACATCATATAATTAGTTTATGCGGACAAAAAAATGCAACTTAGATTCTACAACATCCACTGAACATTTACAAATTAAGAGACAAAAAAACAATTCTATCCCTACTTTCATCTTCTTCATGGTTCTCCTTTCTCACTATTCATCTTCCCTTTTCCTTTGCCATTAACTATCTCCCCCTCCCTATCCTTTTTGGCGAGGAGAACACAAAGAGAGCAAAGGAGAACGGTGGCAAGAAGAATAAAATTAAGGGCATTTGAATAATTTTATATTTAAGTAATTGAAAAGAATTAAAAATGACAATTAAATCTGACTTGGCATTGTCCACCTAAATTAATTGTATGATTTGTTATTAACATGTCATTACAAGAAATAAGGAAATAAGGAAAATGCCATGTGGACTGAGTTAATGGGACTAATTGACGAAGGGACCAAAATCATATAGTTCTGGAAGTTAAAGGACTAAAAAAATGTAAAATATAGTTGAAAGATGAAAATTATGCAAACTTAAAAAGTTGAGGGACTAAAATTGATATTTAACCTAACATTAAAGTTTTATTTTTTCTATAAAAATGAATTTTTAAAAGAATCCAATGAATGTACTTTTAACATATTAATTAGAAAAACTCCATAAACGATTTTTTCTTATACCTTTTAAGTTAGGAGTGCATTTATTATATCTTTTTTATTTTAATTAACATAAAAATAAAAATAATATTAATTTTAACAATTATCTAATTAAATTTATTCAAATGATAACTACTAAAATTAATGTCAAATTTCATAGTTTTTATGTAAATTAATATATAAATATATAATAAGTCCTTAACCTATATTGTTAGGACAGAAAAACCCTTGTGTATAAATAAGGAGCAGAACAACTTAACGGATGAAATGGATATGGGTTGTGTAGTTGTAAGTGATTGTCATGCAATTGAGTTTCATTGTCATGCAATTGAGTTTCATTGTCATGCGCGTGAGTGGAGTCCAGCTTTAGGTTGCAAATCCTCATCAATGTCAATTCTCCTCCGACTCCATTAAAGATGATAATCACAACTCTGGTGGTGTAGAGTCTCAAAACGAATACCAGTGTTGCTGGTCCGCACAATGAGTTTTCCATCTTTGAGCCGACTCCATTAATGAAGCCGAGTAACCCAAAGGGCCCATGCACGATGTAACTCGTTGACTAAAACTACTACTACCATTCCGTTGAAGACTGGTAACCCCATGGAAAAGCCCATGCATGATGTACCCGCTGATTAAAACTACTACTGTAAGATAATGCTGTTTGATTGGAGTTTTA